GGGGGGGGGGGGAAATAGTCTTGATCTGAGACACAGGGGCATTTTACTGTCTTATTTGCCGCCTAAGAGGACCTAAAAGCATGTGCATTCTTACCGCAGCATAAACTGCTCAGGTCATTGTCCCTGTTCTACCCTGAGCAGGACTCAGGCCACTCACAGGGGCTGGATTACAGAATCCTAAAACTTTTCTGGACTCCAAAAGTCTCTAGACCCAGGGTTCCATCCCCCACATCTCTCCTCCACATCCTGCCCTGCTTCCTGCATCCTGTGGTAAATGTAATTCCATTGTCCAGCCTCAGCCCATAACCCCACATGTATGGCATGGCGGCCATCTCTGCAGGTTTGGCTCAATGCACAGGCTCTAGGATCAGACCCTGGAGTTCCAGTTTAATCCAGGCCATCTTAGTCATTAGTGCTGTAGCCTCAGGCGAGGATCTAGCTTCCTGTGCCTCAGTTTCCTCCAATGTGAAAATGGAGATAGCAATAGTGGTGATGACATGTAAAATGCTTGGCACAGTGCCAGGCACAGGCATGGCTGTGACGATGATTGCACCAATTATGGACCAGTTACTTTCTTGTTTGGATGCCCAGTTTGGAGGTGGGTGCTGGAAGTTGGGATCATAGGGGGCTAGAGAGAATGAAAAAGCCCTGTGGTGGCTCTTAGATGCCCGCTGATCCTCGTTGCGAATTGGAGAAGTGGCAGGGGGTGGTGGGAAGGGCTCCAGAATCAGCCCCAAAGAGATGGGCTTGGGTTCCACCTTCAAAGGTCTCTTCAGCCTTCTGGGCCATTTCCTCTATCTGCAGAGCAGGGCAGGGATGCTTGCTGTGCCCGGAGGGAAGTTAGGAGTGGAGGGCACCTTGGAAAGTGAAAAGCTGTGTGCATTTTCTGAAAGCTTCTTTCCTTTTCGCTGGTAGATTTTGAACCAGCTGAATCCTGGGGCCTTGGGGGTGAACCTGGTGGTGAAGAAGACAGAAACCAAAGTAAAATTCTTGATAAAGCAGGTAAGAGGCCACCGCATCCCTGGCACCCAGTGGGGGTGGTTCCCCAAACATCCTTCATGTTCCCCATGATAGCGAAAGGGCAGTGGGACTCCTCTCCTTTGCCAGCAGTCAGATCCCAACAAGGGTAAGACGTGAGGGTGGCTGAGGCCCCTCAAGCTTCCCCGTACACATGCCTCTCACTTGATGGAGAAGAAATGCTCATTTTCACTCTGACAACCACAACCATACCTACTATTCACTCAGTTATGCGTCATCTCATTTAATCTCCTGCTGACCCAGCAAGGCAGGAGCCATGACCGCACTTCACAGCCAAGGAGAGGGAGGCTCCGGGTGGCTGCAGACCAGCCAGCGGGGCGCAGTTCCCAAGACGATTTGAATTCAAGCTACTTCACTGGGGGCCACCCATTTTACCAACCGGAGCGGGGTGGGGGGTGGAGGGGGTGGGCAGGGACTTGCCCAAGGTCACACAGGGCTGAGGGCCGGACACCAGGCCCTTCTTCCACTTCCTCACCAGGCTGGCATGGCAGGGTGGGATGCAGAGCTGAGGGGAACAGCCCTTTGTGTGTCCAAGTCTGGTGGTCCAGATAAACCAAGGGCTCAGGGGAAGAAAGCTGACACCCCTGGTGGTCCTGGGTGATGGCCGGGATACCTCGGATCAGGGCTGTCTTGCAGGTGGAGAGCACTTCTGCTCTGCCAGGCCTCCTGTCTGGGGGCAGCTCAGTGGCCTCTACCCGGGTGGCCAGGCTTAGTGTCCTCACCTACCTCCTGCTCCATCACTGGGGACAGCCCCCATTGTCTGGCGGGCCAACGGGCAGGACTGCTGCCTGCCTTCCGGGCAATCAAAAGTCAACCAACCTTTCTTTAAAAAGAATGGGGTTGTCGTAGGAAGGGGCTTGTGTACGTTCCAGTCTTTTTTCTAAGCATTTATACACTTCTTTGTTTTGACAAGGACGGGTGTTGAGCTTGATAATGTACTTGTTCCTCCCAGCGTATTGTGAACACTGTTCACGCCGCCGGCACAGCTTCCCGCCTCAGCCCTCCTGGCTGCGTGGGCCGCCAGCCACCAGCGCGCTGTGCTGTGACTGACCCAGCCGCTCCCCTCCTGTGCTACGAGCTCTTAGCTTGTTCGCTCTGTGTAGTCAGCTCTGATAAACAACCTTAGAGCTAAGTTTTTTGAGGATCCATGATTTCCTTGGGATAAATGTCTAGGGGTGGGATTTCTAGGACAAAAGATGTGACATTTTTAAGCCTTTCAGTGTGTGTTGGCCGAGTTGACCTAAGCACAAGCCCCGGGAACAGGAGGAAAAGAGAGGCAGACACTGTGCTGCGCATCCAGGGTCTTTCCAGGGCTCTGGGAATAACCCACTAACTGCATTTTCGTCTGTGATCGCTGATTACAGAGATATTCATTTGTGTGTCTTGTGAGCAGACACAAATTCTGGGTAAGGATCTGGTGGTAGAGGTGATGGTCACATCTGACTGCAGTCTTTGCCACCAAGCGTGTTGCAGACTCGAAGCTTAGTGCCGCCCTTCCCCCCACCCTTCCCCCT